CCTGGACCACCAGTCCCAGCGAGAGCAAGAGGAAGAGAGAGGCCCTCAGTTGCTGGGGAGTCCCTGCCCCAACTTACCCCCAAAACACTGAGACTCTCCCGACCTCCACCGTTTCCATCCCAGACCCCCTGAAGAAGGGGAGGGGCTTGGGGAGCCCTACCTTGTCATGTACCATCAATAAAGTATACTGTACCGAGCCAAAAAAAAAAAGAATCTTAATTTATAAACCACATCTGGATGGACTATATATCTGATGGAAGGCCACAGTTTTGGGCTTTTCTGACTGTGGAATCTTATAACTAAGCATTTCCATTACAGAGACCCTGGAAACTACACTTGTTAAACTGTTTCAAAAGATACCAGCTCTTGGGCAGCATGGATTCTAAACCTAGGCAACCCCCGCTTCTTTCTACCTATGTGGATCTCGCCTTCTTGTACCCAAGCTGTTATGTGGAGATAGAGGTCAAAATAGAGCACTTGGGATGCTGTGAGGACTCCAGGGAAAAAAAAAATGCTCTGCTGGCATGCTGCTGTGTTTCTGTGTTTCCAATATCCTTCTAAGTGAATCTAATGCTTAGTTTGGCTTATGTGACCTGAGTAGGTCACATAAGTCTAAATGTCTGGTTGAACCTAAGTAGAATCCTTGGTTATCTTTGCAACAGCTTTGAGTATCCTGGTATCTTTCTGGTATTTCATAATGTCTGCGTTTCTCCAATGATGCTTTGCTATAAACTGCTTCAGCTGAACCTGACTTTCTGAGTTGTATTCAACAGGACATTGTTATTTATGGAGGAATCTTTTTCTCTTCTTATTGATATGTATTCAGAAATTCAACAGGAATCCCAAAGATGGTCATATTGCCATATAGTGGTTCACACATTCTGAGGTTGCTGATTGTTTTAAAACCATGTATGTTTTCTAATACTGGCTATAATAAACTTTCCCATTAATAGGCTTTGTTTCTCCATCTCCAAGGTCTATTATTCCCTCTATATTTCAGTGATTCTTCTAATTGTAATTCAAAATTTCTTTGCCCGTTTACTGGTGCTACACCTCTTAGTAGAATGCACCTGTACATAACAGTATCAGTAAAAGGTTTCTGTTTAAGATCCAGTTCCAAAATATGTTTCCAGTTAACAGCGAATTTTGTCTCAGACAGAACAGGGTAGGGATTTTTGATCAATCCAAGTATAGATATCATGAATTTATATTTACCTTATAGCAAAGACTGTAATTTCAGAAGATAATATGTGTTAATTACTATTGCTCTAACAGCAATATTCCATAAGAAATCACTGACTGAACGAATAGCCTCTAGGTATCAATCTAAGGTATCACAAAATAATTGTAACAGTCTGTTCCCCCAAGAAGTTTGCAGCTTAGTTGAGGAAATAGTATATCCATATAATTTTTATTGATATGTGATTGCATTTTGTGCATTTACATTGCAGTATAAAGATATAATAGAGGCAAAATTTAAGATAATGATTGCTTCCTCCATAAACATTCTGTCAGCAATTTCAAAACTGCGGGAAGAGCAAATATAAGCTGTGTTTAAATTACCGCCACTTTAACTGGTAAATAAAAATACCCAACATACTTTATTTGTACCATGTTTATAAAATGCATTCATTTTATTTAGTCTTAACCTATTGCTTTAACATTACTGTTGTTAAATTTTAATATATTTTTAACTATCTTAAAACTTCTTTACCAAAACATTTTTAGAGTGGTAGTGTTGATGCTAAAAAAAATTCCTGAAAGATAATAAGTTTGGAATGGAATTTACATGTGCTAAAAAATGCAACTAAGGAAGCCAAACAACTGCCATAACATGCAGTTGGTGCTATTAATTTAAGTGACTGTATGCTGCAAATATAATAGAGAAAAAAAGTAACATCAAAGCAAAAATATGCTACAATGACTGTGGATTAACTTAAGAGCATGCATCTAATCACCACTGTCCCCACCTACCCTGCTCCCTCAACACACATTTTGCATTCATTACTTTTGGAAAACTAGTCTTGAATTATTTAAGGTTTGAATTATGTCTCCTCCAGATCACATGCCTTCCATAAAATGGGACCACTCTACCCTGAATAAATGAGTAAAGGTCAAATAAATGGAACAAGATAATAAGCCAGAGTGATCAGCATGGGCTATAACAGAAGATGGAAGTCCCCTCATTGATTTATGGCCTTTCAGTTAACACATCTTAAATTCTCAGTATGTTCCAGACAATGTGCCAGAAGCTAGTGATGAAAAAATGATTAGAACGTAGCGTCTACCTTGAAGGAATTTCAGAAAATGGGGAAAAGAAATACATAAATAAATAATAACACAAAATAGTAAAATTTCAAAGAAATCTTGCATCATCACAAGTTGCATTAAAACAACTTCTTTGATTATGGTCAGAGAATTTTAGGCTATCTAAAAGAAAGTTTTTCCTCCTACAAGAATTTTAGAAAATAAGGTGTATGTGTATGATTTAGTCAATAAAGGTGACTATGGTTGAAATGTTTGTGTCCCCCCAAAATTCATATGTTGAAATCTTAATTCCCAGTGTGATGGTATTAGGAGGTGGGACCTTTGGAAGAGGATTAGGTCACGAGTGCAGAGCCTTCATGAATAAGATTAATGCCCTTCTAAAAGGGGCCCCAAAGAGATCCCTTGCCCCCTTCCACCACGTGAGGAATACAATGAGAAGTCTGTGACCCAGAAGAGGGCCCTCATCCAACTGTGATGGCACCTTGATCACAGACTTCCAGCCTCCAGAACTGTAAGAAATAAATTTCTGTTGTTTATAAGGTACCCATCTATGGTATTTTGTTGTAGCAGCCCAAACAGACTAAGATAAGGGTTTAGTTATAAAATCTAATTATTACTGAATATTTTCATTATATCTATCAAAAATAATGTCCTTTCTTTTCCTTTCAATACCAGCATAAAACTTCTGACATATTGTTATCACCTTTCTTTTTTCCCACGGCTGTGATCAAAACAGTACAACACTGCTCAAAACAGCTATGAAAATAAGTGGGTTTTTTAAATTCCTACTTATGGTACTAGTGTCTAATTGAGATTTAGTTTTAACAAAAAGCCTACAAAGAACAAACCATATTCTCCAATTAAAAGATCAAAATATATCCCTCTGCAGTTATAAACACTCATGCTGTAAGAAAATGCCTGCATTTGTAAATAGTACAACAGTGGCACCGGGGCTGGAATGGTCAAGCTTAAGTGGGCATGAAAGGTTTCCAAGAGTATGTGTCAATAAAATTAAAATTTGGAAGATAGGTAAAAAGTCACTGGCGGTGGTAGAGGAAGGTTACTAACTTATCCTTCCTGAAGTACTTCAGCTAGCCAAATAAAACAAAGAACTCAAAGATAGGTAAGACATGGCATTTTTCAAAAGTATTTTATAGTTGTTGCTGACATCAGTTGTAAACATAATACAGATGTCTGCATATATTACTAAAAAAAAACCCCAAAATATTATTGAAATAAAAATAATAGCCAGGAAAGGCTAGAGGGAGGGGTTTAAATAAAGAGAAAATAATATTGAATCTCTCATCTTACAAGAGGTAAGTCAACACATTCTGTTTCATTCATTTATTTATTTTTTAAAGACTTTATTTTTAAGTAATCTCTACATGCAACATGGGGCTCGAACTCATAACCCCGAGATCAAGAGTAACACGCTCTACTAAATGAGCCAGCTAGGTACCCCTGTTTTATTTTTAATGTTAGTAGAGAAATATAGGTTCATTTATTTATTCATCTGGCTTATTTATCTTAGAGGCTAGTATACTAAAATGAAAACAGAATGTATAACTTCCAAATTACTCTATTAAAAAATGCTTAAATAAAGGACATTTGAGAATGGCAAAATTTAAGGGGTGGATGGGAAAAAAATAATATGAAAATTCCCAAATAAAAGTATAAATAAAGTAATGTAAGTGAAATTAAGTATGCAGTTATCAAAAAATATAACTATTAAGGTATTAAGGGCAAAGAATATAAAGACAGATAAACCAAATACTGTTTATAAGAGAAGTACTTAATGCAGTAAAATAAAAAGAAAGTGATAAATACAGCAGGAAAATACAAATATAAAAAAAGCATGACTTACAAATATTAGCATCAGGCAAAATTTCTGGGCAAGAGGCATTAAATGGGGCAAAATGATCAAATTACAATCCATAATGAAACTATTAGAAAATTAATTTTTATGCACCAAGGAATTTAGCATTGAAATTCTCTTTCACAGATGAACTATACAAAAAGAATAAGAATAAATGTAGTGATCCGAAGGGGTACATGCACCCCAATGTTTATAGCAGCAATGTCCACAATAGCCAAACTATGGAAATTCGAGCCAAGATGTCCATCAGCAGATGAATGGATAAAGAAGATGTGGTGTATGTGTGTATATATATATACACACACAAACACACACAATGGAATATTATGCAGCCATCAAAAAAACCCCAAAATCTTGTCATTTGCCACGACATGGATGGAACTAGAGGGTACTATGCTAAGCGAGTAAGTCAATCAGAGAAAGACATGTATCATATGATCTCATATGATATGAGGAATTCTTAATCTCAGGAAACAAACTGAGGGTTGCTGGAGTGGTGGGGGGAGGGAGGGATGGGGTGGCTGGGTGATAGACATTGTGAAGGGTATGGACTATGGTGAGTTCTGTGAATTGTGTAAGACCGTTGAATCACAGACCTGTACCTCTAAAACAAATAATACATTATATGTTAAAAAAAAAAAAAGAGGATAGTAGGAAGGGAAAAATGAAGTGGTGGGGGCGGGAATCTGAGGGGAAAACAAACCATGAGAGACTATGGACTCTGAGAAACAAACTGAGGGTTCTAGAGGGGAGGGGGGCGGGGGATGGGTTATCTTATAGATAGAATGAGTTTTCAACTTTGCAAAAAAAAAAAAAAAAAAAGATAAACTTCTAGCTTAGTGCTAATAAAACCAACCTGTAATCTTTGCTGCCTTTTCCTCTTGGTTCACTCGGTTCTCATCATCTTCTTCATTATCTTCTTCAAAGTCATCTAAATTGCCAATGTCAGCCTGCTTCATACTCATCAAACTAGCCAAACTTTGCATGTCTTCATCCCTACATGAATGATTTAAAATTTAATACACAGCTCATGAAATGACATTGAGAAAAGACTGCTTAAGAAAATAATAATATATTCCTTCTTTCTATATGTTAATGAGCCTTTTTAAACAGTTGCCCAAGACTACTGAAAAATCTAAATACTCCTATTCATTAATTTTTAAATGGTATATTTAAATAGTAAAAAGCAAACTGGATTAAAAACTAACTTGTTAAGAGTTAGTTTAACTCTGTGCTGCAGATCTGTGGAAGACTAAAATTTTCTTCATAGGATTAAAGTGTGGTTTCCTAATCATTAAACTTGGAAATAAAAACTTGTTTCATAAAACAGTGAGACAGTTTGCAAATCATTGAGATCTAGACTTTAAAAGTTCAAACTTTCAAAATAAATTAGAATAGAAATTCTTAATCTGAAATCCATGAACCCTTTTGGTTTGGTGAAGAGGAAGAAAAAGAAATGGTAAACCCCTGTAAATTATATTTAAATCTTGTTTAAATGTGCATTTTTCTCAAAGGGGCCATAACTCCCCAAAAGTTAAGGAACTACTGCAACAGAAAAAAACACCTTCAAGTCAGCATTTTTAAAAATTACAAGATGAAAAATGACCTGGGTTAATTATAAGTTAAATACCATATATTTGATAAAATGTAAAAATGTCTTTATTTTGAAGTATTTTAAATATATTTTAAGTATTCTACACATCAAATAATTTAAGTCTTCTCTATCTATTATTTTCACCTTAAATTTCAAATAAACTACAGTGAATAAAACACATTTCTAATATATTATATACAAACGAAATTTCAATCTGATATACTTCCTTAAAATTCAGAAAGCCAAATTAAGATGCCATTTCTCATGTTCTTACCACAATAAAATAAAAAACAACAAGAAAACTCTTTTGTAAAGAAATGTTCATTAATATTCACTTATCTCCTAAATATAGTACAACTTTGCAGACTAAACAGGCTTTTGAATTTTCTCTCACGTAAGTTTAGAGTTAACCAAATCATTTCCCCTTTTAAAAATAAATGTAGTGACACAAAGTCTGCATAAACAAAAAAAGTTGTATTACCTTATAGGAATGCCTTACAAATTGCTCACCTACCAATGGGGGATAATTTCAAGATACAGCATTATTCTTGAAATGTTAACTTGCTTAATTTTACTTCTTTAATTTCCTCATATTTTGGATTTTGGCCTTGAACAATTTTCTCTGTCAAAGTTTAGGAAGCAAGGCGTGTGGAGGTAGAGAGGGAGTTTAGGGTGTTTTGAGAGAATTTTCCACTGGAATTGAGACATTTGGTTCAACTGAATTCCTCTCACCCAGATTCTCCCGTGGATGGTGCTGATTCACTTACAGACGCTGCCCAGTGGAAAGGAGTCCACAAAGGATCTTCTCTGATTTTGTTTTCTCTCTTCTTCCTGTGTTTCCTTTCCTTTCATTTTGGCTTTAACTTCAGGGTAAGGTCTTTATTTTTAATTTCTCAGTATTTAAGACTAAAATTTAAGGTGCTGAGATGAAAGACTGATTGCTTCCATTCTGTACTGTCTCTCTGTTACTATACTCACTCAAAAGCCAACTTTCCAGAGATGAGGCTTACCGTTATCTATCAAGTCATTTGCTGCCCTGTAGATGAGTGCCAAATCTCATTTTGACTGATGCACAGAAGCCAGTCTAATCAGTTAAGTGAACATGGTCAATTATAGTAAACACATTCCACTGGCTCAAATACATTTACATCTGTGATTTAGATTGGATTGAAATGTTCATAGCTAGCTTCTTCCTCTCACCTTTTAAGTCTAAGCTTAGACTTTCCATTTCTTGCCTTCCTGATCTTCTCCAAGCAGGCACTAACCCTTTCATTATACCCCCAACATGCACTCATGCTTGACTTGACTGTATGCAACAACCATAGTGCATGTTACTTTTTTTCCTGTTCCAGGTGTGTTTACCCTCAGGAGACCAAAACTGGTGCAGGAACTACCTTCTTGCAACCCCTGTTCAGTGCTTAAGAAGTGATTTTTGAAATGAATAATTATAGCCAATTGTACTCTGCTCTATAATTTTTAGAAGGCTGGGCCAAAGAACATGAATTGGGGAAAGTTCCTTTAGTTCTTTTATTCCTCTTGTCCTAAAATTTTCATTTTGCGTTACTCTTCCATCTCAGCTTCATCGAACAGCTCTACAAATTAACTGTCTGTACTTCAGAGTACAATTACTTACAATGAAGACAATGAAATACAAAACAATCACGTATGATACCCTATAACATACAATTTAAAATTTGGAACTTGCTATAGTCACTTTTATATTACTGTTCATTCTCTAGAGTCAAGAGACTATAAATAACAAGGAGTTCACTTAACTCAGCCTCTGAAGCAAAGAATGGCGAGAATGACTGGTATGCAGTAGGATATTCCCCACTGTTGCCCGTCTACTGAGTCAAAAGCTGTTGACATACAGTTTTAAAATACACTCAGGAGCAGCTTGTCTTCTTGACAAAAGAAACTTACGTGGCTTTTCCTTCCCGAAGGAAAATGCAAGATAATGAAAACTGGAGGGTGGCAGATACAACTTTTTTAGACAATGGCTTGAATTTCAACTTGACGTCAGTCTGCGTTGGCATAGGGCTTGCATACTGTTTCATGTTGATGCTGCTAGTAGCAAGAGCTTTCCTTCGACCGGAAGGGGATTCCTGGAAGATAAAAAATAATTCGGAATTTTGGGGTTCTTTATTTTACAGCCAAGTATTTCAAAATAGCATTTTAATAACATGATTAAATAACCGTTGAAATTTCCTTCCCTAATGAATTCCTATAACACAATATTGAAATAAAATTGTGATGGAGTTATATTACAACTTTTATATCTTTAAATAAGATAGAACTTTTGTATCTTTAAAAACTGGAGAGAGCTGGCCCAGGCAGAAATAAAGATAAACTAAAACAACCCTAAATATCTCAGGAAAGAAAAAGCAAGGAATGCAAACTAGGACAGAAAGTGTCCAGAGTTCCTCTAAAAAGAGGATCTAGCACAGAGATAGGCATCAAAAGTACTCAACAACTGTTCTCCTTCCTTTCATTCTATTTAATGTAACCTAATGATATTTCTCCTTTTTGAATGCTTCCAATTTTTTATGGAATTCCCAGCCTCTATGGCATTCTAACCTCATTTTTACCTACAGGATCTGAGTTCTATTTATCCCCTAATTTGAGCCTTATTTCTTCCCAGGGGCTTTTCTGATCACTCCACTCTACAGTTCTGTTTCCTTCCCCTCAGGTCACATTCATCAAGGAAGAAACCGCTGGTTTCTCTGAGGCCATGTCTGTGGCAGACACTGCCAACTGACTCTAGCAGGTCTCAAAATCCTCCACACAGCTATTACCAATTCCCCAGAAATGAATACAAAATGAAACCTATTAGCTATCAAGGGTACTTAACATTCTAGTAATAAGCTATCTCGTTTCAAAATTATTCTTTACAGAATAATAGCCTAGAAGAACAATGAAAACAAAACAGCAAAATAATGCTTAGGCATTAACTATGTATAAGACACGTTGTTGATTCAGGAGAGATATGATGACGATTAAGACATAATCCCTGACTATGTGTTCTAATGGCAAGGGGACATTTTAGATGAAGATAATTTGTAAATAATGTAAATGAGAGGTCATATGCCATCACTGATGTAAACCAGAAGTCATATACCAGCATTCCTTAGGATCTACTGGTCTGGGAGTTCAGATCTAAAATAAGGCCTAATTTTCAAGCTGTGTGACCTTGAGTAAGTAAACTTGAGCCTCACTAACCTTCCGTATAAAATAAGGAGACTAATCAGAAATCCATTTAAGCTCTACAATGGTTTTCTATAAAATTATTCAATTTTCCAACCAAGGCAGGAAAAACTACCATTAACCTTTGAATTATTATTTAATAAATCTTTACTTTGTCTTATGATTGACAAACCTGCCTAAAATAAAGATCACTAATTTAATCAAAACATTAAACCAGCCTTTTAGAAAAAACTGACATTTCTGCCAGCAGGACAAGTAAAAATGTAATGTAGCATCCCTAAAGAATACCTTGTTTTAAAATGTGGCCTTATCTGTCAGATTATGCACAGCAATATTATACAGAACTATTAGTGCATGTAGATACCTTATGAATGAATTTCAAAAATGCATCAAGCACTTGAGAAGGATTTAAGCCCTCTCAGAAGAAATACTTAAGAATATGCAAATACCCTCAACTGAATTGAGTTGAACATATGTGACTATCCCAAACAATACATGTGTTCTTTCCCTGGTCGCTACTGTCAATCAAAAAATAAGATTAAGGTCTAAGGTTCTGACAATGTGCAAAATGAAAAAGTATGATCAGGTAGTATCAATTTATTACACTGATATGAACAATAATCTCTTATTGTACCTTTAGAATAGCTAACAACTTATAGGATTTAAAGCCTCTGTTTTGGAAGCATGACATACAAACAACCACATATTATTTTCAGATTTTGTTAAACAAATCTGTTTCACAAAGTATGACACTGATCCTTTAGTAATAATTATTTAATTTTATAAGCAAATAAACTATAAAAATTAAGATAACTTGGAAATGAGCATAATTTTGAAAGCCCAATTTAAGGATAATTCCTACAAAATCTAGAGTTTTGATGATTAACATTCAAATTCATTTTTTATTTTTTATTTTTTTAAGATTTTATTTATTCATTTGAGAGACAGACAGACAGACAGAGCATAAGCAGGGGAGAAAGGCAGAGGGAGAAGCAGACTCCCTGCTGAGCTAGGAGCCCAACGTGGGGCTTGCACGACCTGAGCTGAAGGCAGACCTTAACCATCTGAGCCACCCAGGCGCCCCTTCAAATTCATTTTTTAGATAAAAACTTTATAGACAAACAATGAATCATGGAACACGACATCAAAAACTAATGATGTAATGTATGGTGACTAACATAATATAATTAAAAAAAACTGTGTAGAAAAGGTTTTTTGCTGAACTCAAGGAGTTTTAAGTTTTTGGTAAATCAGCGTCTCTGAAACGACAGAAAATAAAGGCTACTGAATTCTAAACTTAATTAGCTGTACCACTGAATTAAGTATTTACTTGCTCAGCAACAATGAAAATAGCCCTTTGTAAGGTCTGGACAGGTGAACAGAACAGAGCTCTTTTGAGTCTACAATATCCATTCCTATTATTAACACAGTATCTCGCTAGAGTCTGCTGGGAAAAGAAGTCTGAATGGTATTTCTAGTAAGTCTTCACCAAGCTCACATATTGTTTTCCTCTTTAAAATTAGCTGTATCATAGAAAAGATAGTTAAAAAGAACAGTAATGAGAAAAATATAAGGATCTTTCACAGCTCTAACCCCACCTCCATGAATCTTCACTTTTTACAACCGAGTTTAAATCTTTACCCACCCAAAATTGATATCATTGCTATCAACAGTTCTATAAAGAGGAATGAAGTAAGTGATTGCAGTTTTGAGATGAACATGTCTTTTGCATCCTATCATCCTTCCAGAAAGGAGTAGGGGCCAGCCAGGCAGAAAGAGTTTAGAGAGAATTACTCTTAGTGCTGCCAGAGTCCTAATGTTATTTCATGTCATATGCAAGGTGGACGAAAGGACAGAAATAAGAAAAAAAAATAGTAAAGGAACTCTGAGAGAAAGAAAGTTAGATGACAAAAGTCAGTAAGAAGTGAGCGTTCACATATATGTAAGACTAAGTTTCTGTCTCTGGGCCTACGTTTATACATGTTTGTATGTGAATCTGACAGTATTTGAGGAATTACTTCAAAACTCCTAAAGCTGAAGTTCTTAAATTTTAGTGTTTACTAAAAAACAAAAAACTAGGAGAGCTTTAGACAATCTAGATAACTGGATCCCACCCCCAGAGATCTTAAATTAGTAAAACCAGAGATGGGCTCAGGAATCGGCTGCATTTCTAAAAATAGTAAGTACCTCTCTTCTCTACTCCCATCCCGCCCCACCCACACCCACACCACTACTACCAGGTGATTCTAATCCAGTTAATCTAAAATCACACTTTCAGAAATACTTCCCCTAAGGAAGTTCTTACATAATACAATCATTTTACTTAAGAAATCTCACTCTCATTTTTCCTAAGTACTCTTCTGTAATAAAAAAGACTTGGCTGCGGTGTCTGGGTGGCTCAGTCATTTAAGCATCTGTCTGCCTTTGGCTTAGGTCATGATCCTAGGACCCTGGGTTCAAGCCCGGTGTTCCCTCTCCCTCTGCCCCTCCCCCAACCGGTGCGTGTGCACGCGCTCTCTCTCTTACTCTCTCTCTCTCAAATAAATAAATAAAATCTTAAAAAATAAAACTTAGCCTTTATATTTCCATTTCTTTGAAATCCAGCCTGTTGTAGTTGTAATCAGGCAAACCAGCATCTGAACGTCACACCAGCATTTATTCACTAAACTTTGGCCTATTTCTTCACGTATCTGAGCCTCATTTTCACAATATCATCTTGGCAAATATTTTTAAAGTTTGGACAATACCAAGTGTTGATAAAAAAGAGGGACAATGCAAACTTTCTTACACTGCAGGAGGGAGCTTCAATAGATACAGCCACTTTGTAAAGTAAGTTGACATTACTTTGTAAAGTGGAACACATGCATTATCTTACAACTCAGTAATAACTTCCATCCTAGAAATATGTCCTAGAGAAATTCTTGCAATGATATACTGAAACATCTAGTAGGGTTTTTAGCAAATACTAGGTGCTTAATAAATAGTATTTATTGTGAATATTTGTTGACCAATTAACCTGGTTTATTACATTAATATTATAAATAGTCCATCCAGGATCACCAATCTTGAAATCAGAAATATAAATAAGCATGTAACTCAGTGAGGATGTTTATTTTTTTTTTAAGATTTTATTTATTTGTTTGAGAGAGAGAGAGAGTACAAGCAGGGGGCGAGTGGCAGGCAGAGGGAGAGGGTGAAGCAGGCTCCCACTGAACAAGGAGCCCGACGTGGGACTCAATCCCAGGACCCCGGGATCATGACCAGAGCTGAAGGCAGTCACCCAACCGACTGAGCCACCCAGGCGCCCCCAGGATGTTTACTTTAGAGTAATGCAATTATGTTACTAAAATTCATGCCTGGGACCCCTACATTCTTACCAGACCTAAAAAAATTCTCCACTTTAATGTTCCCTCATTGCTATTCAGGTGATAACAATACAAGCAATAGGTGAATAAATGTTTTCACTGTATAGCATAAAAGAGAAAAAAATTATAATCACTTTATTAGTAAAGAATGAACTGATTATAAAATAAATAAATACATTTTTGTGAGATTCAGGGCTTCTTTATATTTTTAAACATTACAGATTTTACCAAAAAAGCATGTAGCCAATGTTGCCACTTCCCCATTCCCCCAACCAAAGCTAACTACCTGATATAAAACATAATGGTAGCAAGCAATTTAGTTAAATGGGGTATTCTTTTTTTTTTTTTCATATTACAAGAAGTTGAAGAGAATAGCTTTTGTCCAAATTATTCAAGTTAGGGTCTTCTTACAGAATAGCTCATAGTAAGACGTTTCATTTATTATGGAACCCAAAATAAATACAACTAATATAATACCTCTCTGATTAAAATATTTGACTGACAGGACACCTGGATGGCTCAGTCAGTTAAGCATC